AATCATTTAGTAATTCATATTTACAAAGATATTTTAATAATAGCATGACCTTGTGTTCAATTAGAATTTTACTGTTTTGAGTAGCTTTTCTATGCATTACCTTCAATGATCTGAATTACATAATTACTAAAACACAAGGAAAATTTTGACCTACCTACTATCAAATTGAGGTATAAAATACTAAGATACAAATCTATAACACCTTTAAAAATGAGCAAGATGAATTATTTATGAATATGTTACATATGACAAAACTTTTTACTGTTCCTATAGTCAAAATATAAAATCCTGATTATTTAATTTGGGTATAGTGATGAGAAAAATGGACTTTCAAGTCAGAATCCTTGGTTTAAATTCCACCTTTGGTGCTTATTAGTCACGTGACTTTATGAGGGTTGCATAACTTTTTGAACCTCAATTATTATTGAGGACAATAATAATAACACCAATGGATTGATTTGAGAATTAGATGAAATAATATTTCATAGTACATGGTATGGCATGTGGCATATAGCTTATCCTCAGTTTAGCCATTAATCCATTCTTTTATTTCTCTTCTTGTGTCAACCAGGTATAGAGCAATGTTGTTGGTCACTAACAAATATGATGTAAGTACATGGAAGTATTCATTAAACACCTCAATGTATTTGACACTACTCTTGATATTGACCATATCTTAAGAGTGAAATTTAAAAATGCCCAAAATTTGCAAACTTTTTAGTTCAATGTCATCTATTCTTTTACCAGTTCACAAATGTTAATCTGTTCCTTGCCTAATAGTTTTGTAGTATAGACAAAGTTCCAGTATTTATCCTAACTTTCCTAATTTAAGAATTACTTTTAGAATAAATTATTTTTGGAATTATTTTGGAATAGCCATAGATTGGGATATTTTTAAAAATGTCAACATGTGGGGTACTATTTCTATCATTATTTCTATTTTATTTGTCACTAGTTCAATAAGCTTAAAATTATCATTCAGATGCCATATTTCAAACCATAATGTAAAGAAACATTTTTCTTTATTTAAGGTATTTTACATTTACTCAGTCACTTTCTGAATTCTTAAATATTTTTCTGTACAGAAGATGCTGGAAAGACTCCTACTATTTTTATTTTCTTTGAAAAGTATTTGTCTCTAAATGAGCACAAGTTAACTTTCAGTATTTACAAGGCTCAGAATTTATTTTTAAACTTTGGGGTAGAACTAAATACATCATTATTAAGATAACTGGAGACTTGAGCAAAATTTATAATAAGGTCATGGATATCAGCACAAGTTAGTTTCAGAAAGAAAATAAGGTCAAACTGACCACAACTAAATCTATATAATCAATCCTGCAATTTTAGGTTGGTTAAATGAGATTCACTGCAAAGTTAATCTAGATATCAGGTTTCTAATAGAAACCTAGAATTATTTTAATGAATATTAATATAAATTTTGAGTTATTAGTAACTGATTTTATTATTGTAGGATAATGGGGAAAATACACCTCAGTTAGATCTAGCCTCCTTTTCTTTTTCCACTTATAAAGTGAAAAGGCCCACATACAATATTGGATTACATAAGTGAATGCATTTTTTATTAGTACGATAAAATTAGTACTATGTGAAGATTATTTGGTAGAATAAAAAATATAGTGATCAAAGCTTTGTGAATTCTAGACACTACTCTCAGCTATCCCAGGGACTTGAACATATGTATTTGGGGCAAGACACTTTTCTTCTCTAAGACCTGTAAAACATAAACTTTATCTGATTTCCAACTCTAAAATTTCTATTCTTCCAGATATAAAAGTAAAGATGTATATGTTTTCTGATTTTTTCATTTTCATCTCATAACTTGTAGGGGAAAACAGTTTGAAGTAGAATTCTTAATATCTAAAAACAATTTGAAAAATTATTAACAAGAATATCACTGTTTGCCAAGAAATTAGTCTCAACATAAAAGTAGTAGCCCAAATTAAACTTATATAGATAAGTAATATAAAATCAACCATATGTGGGCATTATGGTATCAGATTATATTTTGAAATCTCTACAAATGTACTCTTAAAAGATTATTATTCTGGTTTATAGGTTAAAATACATATATCAACTAGAACACTAAGAATAAAACTCAAGATTCCATATATTCTGATTTATTATGTCTTGTAGAACATTTCAAAGTCCAACATTAATTGCTTAACTCTTCCAAGTAATGAATTCTTCCATATCATTAACAGTAGAGCTGGATACTGTAATTTGCTTATCATGGTTGCTTTGCAGTTAATCTGCATGAATTTCATTTAAGTTTTAAAACACCAAAGTGAGTTAGCTTAATTCAATATTTGAAAGATGAAATGATTCACATTTTCCTACAACAGTTTATTCAAAAAAAGCAATGAACATTTATTCTAAGCTTTAGTATGAAGAGCTATTAAAATGAAAGGCATAGCATTGATAAGGGAAAGCTGACATCAACTGGTACTTGGTGGTAATAGTTGACAACATAATAGCAATCTGTGGAATTTGCATAACTCTTTCTCTGCAATTTACAAAATACTTACCACTCAGTAATTAAAATATGGATTTAAAATTTGGGAGCGTAATTTATGATTCTAAGAGCTGGAAGAGGAGGGTGAATTCAACGTGCTCTCTCTCTCTCCAAGGGGCTTTCAGCCTAGTGACACAGATAATGCCCACAGTTAATACTGGCTGCCACAGATGCAATAATGGAGGTGCAAAGAGAAGGGTGGAGAAGTGAGTGATGCTGGCCAAGATAATTTGGAAAGATTTCACAGAGGAGGGAACATTTAACCTAGTTCTTGAAGCAAAGAAGAATTTCAGCTGTTAAAAAAACGGGAGGGTACTCCATACAGAGAATATGTCAGTGCTGGCAGCGTAATTAATTTTTGCGGGTAAGGAAAAACAGAGCAAACTAAGTGATTTGATCAAGGTAATAGTGAGAGAAAGAATCAGAGCCATTACTGGAATTAACTCCTGGTTCAGAATGGTTTCTGCTACATACCACATTGCCTCCTTCCAGAGGTAAGATAATTCTTCTACCTTCACAGCGATCTCCACCCCCTATTTATCCCTCCATGTTGCCACACCCTTAGCTAGGATGTCCACAGGCAAACAGAGGCAGCCATGTCTTCATAAAACACATAAGATTCCAGCTGTGTCTAAAAATCAAACAAACACATCTAGGTGTATTTTTGATCCCCTTTCCTCCCCATTCTCCATCATTTCAAAGGAAGGGGAGTTTGCACTGTCGCCACATGGCATGCTCAATAAAATTTTGATCCATTCCTTTAAACCTTCCATTTTTCTACTTCGGTTTGTCAAGTGTTCGTAATTCTAAGAAGTCATAATTCATAACGTGGGGGAGGTTGCAGATTTTTGGCTCAGGAGGTTGTGCAGATGTTATTCCTTAAGGAAGAGGATCCTGATTGCCTATGTGAGTAATGGCTGCAAGTCGGCTAGAAGCCAAAAGTTCTCTTATACCAGAATGTATAAACCATTCTCCTACTGAAAGAAGGCCCCCAGTAGGATAATATATTATTACACATGATTCAAATTACAGGATCTGCAGCAGGGGAGCTCGTGACTGATTCAGGACAGTCGCCCCCTGAATACTGATGATGGGATGATGGAATGCCTCATGAATTAAAAGGGCCGTGGTTTCTCATCTAAATCCTTCATATGCTTTAAAAAGTGACTATGCCTATCATTATACTCGTTAAGCTTCTTAAACCAATCATGCACTGTTATAAAACCCTCGTGGATGTTTTTAGCATTCCATGTCTTTGAACAATTATATTCAAAGCATTCTTTAAAAAAAAAAAAATAGACAATGAAACTTTACCTTCCCTGCTAGAAAACTGTATCCCTTTAATGCCAATAATGCAATAAAGATATGACTTAATAGAAAGTGCATGAAGTATGACCCAGTTTCACTCTTTGGGATTTTATAAAGCGACCTGAAATCTTCACATGCCGCATGTTCCAGCCTCTTTAAGTTATCTATAGAACAAATGACTTTATCCCTGACAAACTAAATACAAATGTACAAGACAAAATTGCGTTTCCAGAGGTTTTTCTGTAGATAAATGAACTCATCCGTGACTATTATTTCATGTGGTCTACTTTGGTTATATAATAATTCCATAAATTTGCTAAGAGTATTACATTATGAATGGCGATCAGGCATTTTTATAGAAATGCTAAGGCAGATGTTAAATATTATACATTCTGAAAAGCTAACTGCTTTGCTGCAACAAATTCTGAAATAATATGTAAGCTGGGTCCCTCAATTTCTTTTCAAACTGGTTCTTGTGTTCAGTATTTCTAGTAAATGGATGCAAATCAGGTGCATTGTGCTGAGATGGGAAGGGGGAGATTTGTCCAGAAATGACCTCAGTTCTATTCATTAATAAAATGACATGTTGGCTGAGAGCAGTGAAGAATGAAATATAACAAGAGTGAACTTTCCTCCATGTGACAGATGCACATAAGCACTCCTTGGATAAAGCACTGTATGTAAAATGGCCACTGCAACATAAAACCTGGAAACATTAAAGGAAGCTCTCTGATGCAGATTGTTTGGAGAAACTGCAACTTCCATGGCAATGTGCCCCCTTATTCTCTATTACCTTGTACAGTTCTAAATTCCAACTTGGAAAAAAGCATGTATTTAGAAATAGGGGGATCAAATAAAATAAACAAAGGTTAATTTTTTTCTAACTTTTTTTTAAATAGATAATTTTGCAAGGTCAAAACAAAATAAAATTGTACTCAGATTCACTTCCACTGGCTGCAGACACCAATTGGGGTGGGGGGAGAGAAAAGTAAAAGGTATCTGAGAGAATGTAGCCACATTTTTGCATAGCGGTTTAAATTATGCCAGCAGAATAATTAATGGAAGGACCTAATATGGCGGGGGGGGGGGTAACAGGAAAGGGGGAAGGCTATGTTAAACAAAGTTCATTACTGCATGATGTAAATGAGTTTCTCACCAGTGATGTCACTGATTGGCTGAGCTGCAGAGCTGGCTTCGAGCATGGCCGGATTGGCTGCTAGCTCTTCTGGTGCCTGCCTGCTTGGGCAGCGGTTGAACCAGATACTTTCTGTCTCTCTTGTTGTCGTTTGAAGCAAATCTTGTTCAGCCCAGCTGTGTCTCCATAGTAGTGGCACCCTAAGAGAGAGTCTCCCTCCTGCTTCCCACAGCTCGTCTGTGAGGCGGTCGCTGCTGTGAAATACCAGCCCTTGGCACCAAGCCCAGACAGCGTTCTCAGATCCATCTATAACACACACATACAAAAAGAAAAATAAAAAAAAAAAAGCAGTTCTTTCATCTGAATTGCATCCTAAGGAGGATTAAGAAGGCTTCTATTGCTACTGATTTGTGTTCTTTCAATTTGATGGTTAAAATAGTTTTTGAAATACAGTATCTTCTCATCTGCAGTAGAATACCACTAGTTAAAATTGGTTAAAAAGATAGGGGGAAATCCCCCTTTCCCATGTTTACCTTGATTACAGAAAAATAATTCTTCAGTTTCCTCCTAAGCACCGTAACTGATGTTTTTGGTCCCCTACCAGAATTTTAAACTCTCACCAGATTTCTAATTACAGCCGAGTCATTATTTTCAAGTTAAGACATGGGATCTTAATTAGCATTCTTTTTTAGCTATGCAAAATGAGACAGGGCATGAAACAGAAACAATCTATGGAGAGGCAGAAAGAGAGAAAGAAAAAAAATCTGTGCAGCTTTTACAGTTGAGCTGACACCCCCTTCTTCCCCTCTCTCCCTCCACCCCGCCCCTTGCAAAAAAGAATGCAGTCATATGAACTTTACCAGACAATGGAGTACCTACAGGCTCTCCCCTAGACAAGTCCTTTATAACCAGCCAGTGCTATGTGCTGCAGACAGTGGCCAATCGGCAGGCTCCTTTCTGCAGCAGGAACACAATAGGTGCATTGGCCACACTGTCCTCCTAGACCCTGACAGCAGTTCAGGTTCATTTATTGTACACTGGAAGGCACATATGTCTTTAATATTCACTGTGAAATTATCAGTGCGGCTGCCTTTATTTCACCATAATTACATCAACCTAATTACCGCGCACAAGCTGCAATAGCACTGTTTGCACAGAGTGGCGCATAGGCATGCATGCCGTAAAAATATGCATGAACATGTTTGCTTATTTCAATAATAAAATCCACCAATTATTTCCTTCCCAGAGCTTAATGCTTTCTCCAGAATACTTCAGTGGATGTAGCCATCATTTTTCCCCTTCGAAAGAAAAAAACCTACATGTGTGTGTTTAATTTACATATTATTCTAGTCATTTATTGGGGTGAGCGATGGGGGTGGAACTTAGTCAGCAAATAAAAGGTTGTTAAGGACCTAAGGCATTTTTCCCGTATCACTAGGCATCAGAATGAAGAAAAAAAGTGAATCTGCACGCATCACCTTAGCCATGCTCAGATGCCGATTTATTTGCAATCCAACTCTCATGAGCATCTGCATATGCCTCATTTATGTATTTTCATGTTACATAATTACGGCATGCCTTGCAACACTGGTCAAAAATGCTTGAAAAATTAATTTTTTTTCTTTTATATATATATATATATATATATATATATATATATATATATATATTAGAAAAACAGAGTTGGACACAGTAGTGTAACTGCCTGCATTTTTTTTTCTTATTTTATGCATGTTGCATTTACATATTCATGGACAGAATAGCTGTTATGACCACTGATTCTGCAGCAGGAGATGAAAAGGCATGATCCAGCATACAGATGTATTAATTTCTAGGGGAAGAATGGCAGCATATCATGACCAGCAAGAGATGTTTTGGGGTTTCACTTGGGGGCACCTCATTGTATAATAAAGGATATGGGTAGACGATCTTCCAAAACATATGTAAGTAAATGAACTCAGAAAGTAAAACCAATTTGTTTTGTTCATAGCCATTTCTTCCACATTGTAATGAAATAAGCATTTTGAAATGGAGACTTTCAGGTCCGATCTTTGAAGGTAAATTGCATTTGTTTATGACTATTTAGAATATCATAAAATGGGATGTGCTTGGAAGCTCTATATGTTCTCAGTATTTTATGATTTTCATATTTCTTATTCCAAACCAAAATGCTAAACATAAAGAACCAATTATTTCCTGAAGTAGAATTTCACCAATGTTTACCTGTATTTATTGGTGTGTTTTGTTTTTTAGCTCACAATTCTCTAATCAGGAATGAAATTCATGCTTATAATAGGCATGTTAGGAGGAACTGTAACTCAGATATCCATACAGATGCATGTATATAACATGCAATATACTCATACCTGAGAGAAAATCCCAACAGTTTTTCATCATTATATACATTATATTGTTGTCTTTTTAATTTTTGAAAATTTTCTATCAAAAAATTCATTCAAATTGATTGTAATTCTATAAGCATTTTTAAAAAGCATAGTTCTTCTGTCTATGCTTTCCAAAATTAAGTATTGAAAGAAGGGATGGGGAGATAATTTCTAACTAGGCTAAGAGATCCCAAAGCTCAATCATAAAAAGCACAAATAATATAAGGAAACTTTACATGTTTATTACTGAACTGATAAAACATACAAAATCAAAGATATAAATTAGTTACTTGATAAATAATATAAGATGCTTCTTCCCTAGGTGACTGCAAAAAATGTTCAGACAAAAGCAAAACTCAAGTAACTATGTGCCTTACTCTTTTTGATGATTTTCCTGTCAGAGGCCAAATTTTTTAATCTTTGATAAAATCTTGAAAATTTACCAGTAATCAAATTACATTATATAACCCCAGTCTTCTCTCTCTCTCTCTCTCTCTCTCTCTCTCTCTCTCTCTCTCTCTCTCTCACACACACACACACACACACACACACATACACACATACACATAATTGTACATATATACAGCTGGCTATCCTTTTTCTTCAAAAGAATGTCCTGCTCTTCTGCTAGTCATCTCAATTATTTGATCTCACATTGCTTCATAAAAGCTTTTAAAAAATCAAATAAGTCATAATGAGTTGCTAGTAGTCTGTTTTACTAAGTAAAAATAGAGATCAAATTCTCATATTACATGGATTTGGATTCCACAAACACATAAAATGTGCTTGGAAATTTTACTAGTATACTAAAAATTTTACTAGATATATTTTTATAAACAAAGTTAATGGATGGTCCATATCTGACCTGCTTAAGCAAAGAGGTATTTATAAGCAAAAGAACATTATAAATAAGGGAGGCCTTCCTAGTTCCTCTAATTTATTAAACCAGACAAGTTAGTCCTCCTACTTGGAAACATTCTGTTGTTGGTTGAGTTGTTAGATGTTCTTGAAAACAATATTGTGGGGTTTTTTTTTTTTTATAGTATTCCCTTAACAGGATTTACTATTCCTATCCGATTGCAACTATTCCAAACACAAGTTGCCAAGTGTGAGAGTTTAATATACAACTCAAATCTGAAATAATTTCACAATGAAATCTTATTTGGAACCATTTTACTAGAGGAATTAGGCCTAACCTAACCTGTACTATAGACAGGTTAATTTTAGATATGACATCTAAAGAAAATTAGTAACTAGTTTGCACATTTCCACCAATCATTCTGCCATCCTTTATTAAAATACAGTTCTGACCTGCTCCTGTCAGGGTTTTCCTAATTGGTTGAGCTTTACTATAGATAAGGAATTGATGACCTCCCCTCATAAGATCAAAGACATGCATTTATGAGATAAGTGTACGGAGAATATAAGTGCCATCTGTGTTCCCAGGATGGAGGAAAGCAAACTTCTTTACCAAGATCAAAAGCATAACCTTAGATTTATAATCACGATGATCTCACCCAAAGAGTTAAATCAGCACAAATTGGCTGTAAGAATGTGAAAAGCAGCCAATCATATTAACTTTATAAATAATACAATGCATTCTATAAGAAGAGCCAACTTGGAAAGAGATGCAAAACCAATAAATTAAAAAAACAACTTGTCAGTCTCCTGAATGAATCATTCTTTAAACAAAAAATTTAAAAAGTGGAAAATACTCATAGTGTAATTAACATCAAGGAATCACTGTTTATATCTCTGTCTATGCAATGCAGTGACAAGCATTCAGAAGATAAAGCAAGATGCAGTTCATCATCAGATGGCTCTCAATATTTGGCAGCTTTTGTGCCCATAGATTCACAGCTTAAGTTTCAGTGTCTATGTTTTAAATTCCAAATGTGCAACTCTTGAGCTCTTTAATAATGATCATCTTTTATGGGATATAAGAAGCATAACATTTTAAAAGTTGCTGCTGATAGTTTATTCCATCCATGTTCTGTTTCCAAAAGATTCTTTTCATTGCATAGTTATGGTTGATTCTATTTATATTGGACTCAAAAAGGTTAGTAATACATCCCCTGTGAGAAAAACACAATATACTTCAGTTTTAGAGACTGGTTTTTCTTTCAAAATTCCCTGTTCTTTTCCCCCCATGAGATAGGCTTGTTTATGTGGTTGATATACATTTTCAAAATTTCCAGTTTGTTAATTAGGGTTGCTTTTTAAAGTCATACATCATAAGTACAAAAAATCGTGAGATCTAAATATTCATTTGAAAAAGAAAAGTTTCACAACAACTTGAACAGTCAAGGAGAAATGAAAAATTTCACAACAAATTGAACAGCCAAAGAGAAATATTTTATTAGAAAAAAAACAGTCACAGTTTTCAGCAACTGTTAACATGATAGTCTATAATCACTATTATTTATTCTCTGATATACAAGGAGAAGCAGAAAACTTGGAAAGAAGAATAGAAGACCTTCAACTGAAAAATTGCCACCAAGCATCTAAAATTATCTCATGTTTTTCGGTAATGAAAAAAAAATTTAAGATTCAGAAAGAACTGAAAGAAATGTTCTACTTGAGATAAGGGATATGTCCAGAATTATATTAAGCAGTTGTTACTAAATCAGTGATTAATAAGAAAGTTGTCAGATTACATCTCATAATCTGCATGCAACAAAGGAAAAATTATTCACACAAACAGCACAGATGTGCAAAGGGCACATGACTTCTTTATTAATTAAATATGATCTTATTTTCTTCATAATTCTTTTTTCAGTGACAGTTAGGGGTCAAACGGGGAATTTAAATTGGCCAGTAAATTTATCTCATTACTTTTGATTTCAACAGTGTCTTTTGAGTTATTCCTTCTGTGGTAGACAGAATAATAGTGCTCCAAAATTGTCCTCATCCCTACCCCCA